CTACTGGGCAAAGCAAGTTCCTAAAAGCATAATCCGAGAGACTAAGGGCATGATCCGTCTGTTCAAAACGAAATAAAGAAATGATAGCAACAAAACATGGACTTACACCACCACTAAATCTGCATTGCAAGAAAAACTCCGCAATAGAATCCCTGTTTGAATATGTCTGACAATTCTGTTGTGCATTCGAGTCAATTCTTCTTCAGAAATCTGTCCTTCTTTGTTTTCACCTAAGAACGGCTCCAACATCTTGAAGAACTTCTCAATTCTGTAATCATTACGATTTCTCAAATATGTAGTTTTGGTTACGGTAGAAGACTAATTTCAACTCCCACTCGCAAGGCTATAAATAGAAATCCTACATTTCTTGATTTGGTTCTGTTAAAGCTGGAACGACGTGAAGGTAACTGTAGTGGATACGGAATTTCTCTAACAGTGCAGCCATTCGTTCCTCTTCCGCTGTGACAGAAACGCCCTCTGGGGCGACAGTGAATACACGAAGATTAGGCTCCCTGAACAATAAAAGTTAGTCCTTCCTATAATCATGGCAATAAAAGGTGCTATAACGTAAATTCTCAAATGGGCTGTTGTCTTCAATAGAGAACACTACTGAGAATCTCTGTATTATTGCTGTGGGAGTGGTCTACTGCACAGCCTTCGAAATGAGCTCTAGGCAGAGGTTTTTACTTCCTCAGACCTCTGCAGTCCTATACGTTCACCTAGTTGACCCATGAGGAGACATAACCTTAATTAATAGGAGACACAACACATCTAATCAAACCGGGACACAAGGTGAAGCCAAGGAATCAAAGAATTTGAACAGCTTGGGGAGCCTGTGGCGTATGCAAAAGAGAGAGTGATGCTCCGTGTGGCTTCTTGGAAACGTTAGGAAAGACTGGTATGAATAGCTAGCCCTCCTCTATGGCTACCGAAGACGATATTTCGTTAACAATTGAGCTTTCCCTCTCCCATTCCTAAACAAAGTCACAATGGCACAGCATAAGCTAAGAGCTAGCTTTTTTATTAGTAAACCT